AACCGCTCGGTACGAAAACACCCGTTATACATATGTATATATATATATATATATATATACTCAGACCAACACAAAATACTGACCGTTCTTAAAGCTACTTTTTCTAAGTCATGAAGAAAAGCTTTAAATGCGTTTTCAACATTTTATTCCATCAAGTCACATTATATGCATCTATATAACATCCAATTTACATTTTAATAATAACTTCTCAACTCTCCTTAATAAAACGTGATGGCAAAAACATCCTACATAAGGGATAACGTTTATAGGAGTTAACTTTACATTTTCAGAATATCAAAGCTGAAATTTTGCCTTATTTTGAGAAGCAAATATACTTGAAGCATTTCTACCATTTTACCAATCAGCGAAGTAACATTTCAAGCTAGTGATTTTATAGCTGTGCTTTTTGGCACACAAACATAAAGTACCCTCATGGTATTTAATTGAAAAAACGACATTTTCTTTGCTATCATTTCTTGATGTAATGCAGAATATTTACATGAACATGAATGCTTATTCTTCTATAAAGATTTTCTAGAGTGTTACCAACACAACTGCATTTTAAGCATCACATTACATTATCTAGACCCACACACAATGTATTAGAGTAAACAGGGCCAAGATGAAGCATTCAGGTACACGAGACAGCTTCATAAAATAAAAAACAAGTGCATTAAAAAATTCCCTTTAACGACAGGTGTAATTAGACATGAAAATGGGACAGAAAAACTAATGAAAAATGGAGCTGTCTGGCCCTATTAGTGTATTACATTCAGTAAATTACATCAATGTAAATTAACGGGAATAATCAAAGAACATGATATTTATGATTTCGACACATTCTTAAAAGCTAAAAGACATGGTAATATGTTACAATGTGTATTTGAAAGAAAAAAAAATCTACATACAGCAAGACATCCATTGTTGCAAAGCATTTTAGATACATTTCCAAGGAATTTTTCCCCCCAAATACAGAACGTGTAAATATTTGCAGATAATCAGTAGACTTCAATATATAATTTAAAAGAGGGACAAAAAAAAAATAAAAACCTTTTCAGTGACACCAGTATACAAACTGCACAGGAACAAACGCAGAGCACCCGAGAGAACCAGCGTATGCCACATGCTTTGTTAAACACACTGCTGATGTTAAGTTTGTGTTTGATCATGATCAAAAATAATTTTTTTTCATCCAGATAAAGACATCCAACATATAAAAACACACGCACAAAAATGTAAAAGAAATAAAGATTAAAAAAAAAGCGGGCTTTCTTAATGAGCAAATCCGCTTTGGAAGACTAGGATATGTTAATGCTATTTTACAAATGAATAAAATAGTCAAATAAAATTCACAAACTGACAGAGTGGGTAAACATACAGTAATGTGTAATATCAGTTCATTTTTAACAAAAATCAATATCAAATATAATGGAAGAAATTAAAAGGCTTTAAGTCGAATATATGTGGAACTGCACCTTTATTCATAAAGTCAAAGTCAGTGGAGCCAAAAACAGACTTCTGGAATGCAAGCAGGTTTGGAACGTGTGTTTTTAGGATAAACAGCACACAGATGTTACTAACTCTGGGTTTGCTACTGATTTCAGTCACGGTTCGGCCTCTGCTGAGTTTGGGGAAGAGTGATCAGTTCTTCAGAAGAAAAGAAAAGCAGTCGAAGCTAGCACAGTGTGTCACAATACAAAGCCAGAGGAGGAAGAACAAATAAAAAAGCACACTGCATAGTATATAAGCTATTTTAGTGTTTTTTGATCGCATGCGTAATGTTTAGTGTCATTAGAGAGTGTAGTCCACATAACATCGACTACACTGAAAACCCAATCTAGGTAAATCACATTCAAACCCAGTAGTGCTAAATCACCTCTACAGTACATCTGCGAATGTAAACACACACAGAAAAAGCAAATGAAGATGTAATGTGTAACGATGGAATATCTGGCAATGTAACTTGTGTGTCCTCTGGTTCTTATTGCACGCTAACCGCAGGAGGACAGTTGAAGTGTTGTGAAGGACCCTCTAATTTTAGGCCCATAAACACACACACAAACACACACAGGACAAACACATATTTGCAGTGAGCGCTGCGTAGGAAGTGTTTTCCTTTTTAGGGTGTCTGGGATCCAGACCTCTTGAAGCTACCCAGCAGACTCTGAACACCCTTCTTCACACTGGATCCGACCCTGCGGGCGACAGAGTCAGCAGGCGGGCCGGGCAGACAAGAGCTGCCACCGCTGGGGGGTCGAGCGTCCAGGCACTTCTGATACCTCAGCTGTGAATGATGGAATATATGACTGAAACTCAACACATTTGAGAAGAATAGCATATTTCAGCATGAACTAGGGTTGTCAGATTATACTCTGTCCTAATTTACACTGTTAAAACTGAACTGTAACGTCCGCACCAAACAAACTTCAAAGAAGTCTCCCCAAACACCCCAGTCAGTAGAAAAGTCCCCAAAACCTACCCAAACATTCACTACTGGTTGAGTCAGACAAACAGAAATGTTTTACATTTGGGAGAGAGACTTCCTGAAGAGCATAAACACTGAAGTTTAAGTCATTCATTTCTGACCCCTCTGCTGCAGCTCTCTCCCTTTAAAAAAAAAAAAGGTTAAAGTAATGCTACACAGTTGGTTGTTTGTTCCTCTCCACTGTACTATATACTAAAGGCAAAAAACACCAATAATAAATATATATAAGTGAGCAACACTAACCATGAACTCCCCAATCTCTTCCACATGTGCAGTGAAGAATGAATGAAATCAACCACGTTCTAGACACGTCGTTACTCACCATACACGCGGCCTGTACGGCCTCACTTAGACTTGCAGCGTTTGGATCACACCAGAACATGTGACAGATGAAGTCTCCAGGTCGCTCTGCCATTATGAACGCAAACGTGTGCACGTCCTTCCCGACTCCCATAAATGACAGGAAACGCACACGACATTCAGAAAGAACTTCCTCCGTCTGTGACAATGAGACGAGATATATCAGTGTGGTTATCTAATCAGATTTTTATGATACAGCATTACGTATTATATAATACTCAAGTACTGCAGAAGGTCAACAAACAGAAACCTGACCTCAGAAGTCAGAATAGAGAGTGTAGCGGACGCCACGTTCACAGTCACAGGTGTCCAATTGTCTTTGCTGTTAAGAGCAGTCTCCAATGCTACATTAATCACATCCAAGCCTTCAAGAGACAGATGCAGACACAACTTCAATTTCATGCAGCTAGCTTTGATGTAAACATGAAAATAAATAGATGCTATTTTGAGTGCTTACAGGTTATGACATAGCTACACAAAAATGGGGGAAATGCAGGTAAAGCGTGCAGTTTGTATGTAAGGGATAATGTACATGTTATCACAGAATAATTCAGCGATGACAACCAGCTGGATGTACATTATCCCGCTTATTACACGGCTGCTTACCACACAAGTAAATAATTAGACACGAAATATTGATTTGAGTTGAAATATTCGAACACAAAGATTCTGTGAAGACAGCAGTTGCAAGCAAGCAGCAAGTTCAAACTAGACGGACATTTAAGGGATGCGGTGCAGTCAAACCTCTTCTTACACAACATTTCACCACATAAATAATTATGGCGATAAAAGATATTGATTTAAGATGAACATTTTTAAAATCTTACCAGTTGTTGTCTTATAATCCATTACAGTGTACAACACAATTGTCGCAAAATGGCAGCAGCTGTATTTGCATGAAACGAGAGAGCGAGTCCGCAATACCAGGATGACATAATTAAATAACTGCAGGAGTACAGCGCTGACTGCAGTTACCCGGATGAGCCTGTGTTATCAGCTTTTACCGGTCGTTATCGAGGGATAACAGACCTCAGAATGTTGCGACTGACCAATCAGAATCAAGTATTCCACAGAGCCGTGTAATCAATAAGAGTATAATAGCAGTTAATGAACTGAGGACTTCCTACCAGCTGGCTTTGTCACCGGCACACGACCCAAGTACCGCACCTGGAAGCGCTGGACCAGCTCGTTCTTGGGAGCTGGGAACTCTGAAGGAAGAAAGATCTGATTCAGTCATAATGGTATCATTTCATTATTATCCATTACAGTACTCACTTGAGAAGGAGGGAGAAATATCTGATGCACACGTGTAGTCAAACCCAACACTTTCAACAGTTACATACTGTATAGCGCTCAGATCTGCACTGCAGACCGTCCACAAACAAAAGCTAAATTCAGCACATGTCATACGTTACCCTGGAAAGGGAGGTCCCCAAGTCTTGAGGGGTCAGTGTTCTGTCTGCTGGATGACTTCCTTTGGGCCATTATCTGAGGAAATACACAGACAAAACAAAATATATAACAAAAAACACAGACATAATTGCATCGGCAGTTGTGTGTAAGATGCTCGCACTGCGGTCTCTATCTGGCTACCTGGTTGATCCAAACTGATCTAAAAGTGTAAGACACAAAGGTCTTAACTACAAATAGAACTACTGATACTTGTGTATACAGAGAGTAAAAAAAAAAGAATTACTAGAAAAACATTTAGTATTGATTTGATCACCTATTTAGCATAAAAATGAGGGATGCTCAGTAATACATTTTGTGGGCCAAATGCTGGACTTGATGCGATCGCTGTCGTCAAACTGCCCTGGAGGTACAGTATGTGCACCGACCTTCTGCATGAGGAGCATGGCAGACCAGTACCTGAAGACCAGCCAGTGGTTTTGAATTTACTATTGTAGAATCTTCAGCCTTAAATTCTGCCATTTCACTTCCTCCTATCACGTAGCTTACGCCCATTTACTTCTGAAATCAGACCACTGATATATAGGTTAGATTGAGTCAGCATGTCTTGAGTTGCTTTTAGCACTGATGCTTTTTTCCTGAGGGGAACGATTTGAGACCATCATCAACATAAGTGTCTCTCTACAAACCTCCTCTCCTCAGTCCCATACTCGCTTTCTCCTTCTACAGCCATCATTTTCTGACTATAAATGATCACAGCAGGTGAGTGGCAGTTGCCAAACAAATGAACTCTTATTCCACACTTCATTGTCAAGTTGGTGGTTACTGAACCACAAGAATCAGAGATAGTTTCCTTGTAAGGGAAGGCCTTTGTGACTGAAACATCTGCTGGATGTCTGTCATCACTGCAGCTGGCTCGGATCTGATGCACATGAGAACCCCAAGCTATTATTAAGGTCTGGACTGCAAAGGAGAACATCATTCAATGACAAACCACTCAACAGTGCACTTGAGTCGAACACGATTCTGATTTAGCCAGCTAGTGAAGTTAGTCAAGATTAGTGAGTGATTTTCTGACAGACAGCAGCAGGAATATTAGTCTGCTGTCACTTTAAGAGCTGCACGGACCAATTTATTAATACACATGCATTTTCAGATGTTTACGTTCATTTCAGTCATAAACCAAAACGGGCATTTTAACATAATTGTGTGTGTATTTGACAGCTGAAGCACAGTAAGTGCTGAAAGAGATCTGAATTCACAACCGCATGCTGTCTGTGAGAGAGAGGACTTCCGTGGACGTGTTTCAGGTGTCTGATAACGCGCGAGTTCTTTTCGAGGTTTATTGCACTTAACTCTTTTTAACATCATTTAACTTTTTTTTTTTTTTTCTCATTCATGCAAGTTTCTTATGCTTAAGTTTCTAAGTGTCAAGTTCAAAGTTAAGATTGCATACCGGTGCTTTGAGCTGCTTAAACGAGAATGTCTCTTGTGATAATCTGATTATCTAGTTACTTGTTCATTATGTTGCGGTTTGCTTTGGATTTTGGATTAGATTAGTTTTCTCTTTGTTAGACTAGGTTTGGAGTGTTTCGCCACCCTTGTTTTTTTGTTTTTAGTTTAGGGTAGTTTAGTTTATGGTGTTGCATACGCAGAAGGTTTCGGTTTTATTTTCATATTTTTCTTTTGTTAGTCAGTTTGGAAGGTAGTTATAAAAACTATTGTTTTGTTAATTTCTTTGATTTGGGTGACGCTCCTATTTTTTTTTTTCTTTTGCTTAATTTCATATTTCTTTGCATTTGATATTGATATGTACTCTTTCACACAGTGCGTTAATTAAAGTCTTTTGAAACTTACTCCTTTTCAGTGTCATCTTTGATCTGTTCCACACCCAGTAACAATTGTCTCACTTAAATGTTACAGTATCATCCCTTTTTAACATCAAGCACGTAACACACTCCTAAATTGTCGATAACTTTAAGCAGTGCAGCAAATATATAAAGTTTGACACGGCCAGAGTGCATGCAGGGAGCTGAAGCAGAGCTGAACACACTGTCCTGCTGTCGCACGTAATAATATGGCTCTTATTAAAACGCTGTCATTCTTAAAGTATTAGTAAAATGAGGAAACGTACCATTTTTAAAAGCGGGGTATCGCAATACATTTTTAGTATATTGCGATACCCCGCAATAGCGGTATATAGCGGTATATTGTGCAACACTACTTTGGACTCTTTTCTCGGGTTTGGCTGCAGTATACTGCATAGATGCAAAAGAGATGAATTGGCCATATGCCTAAACAAAGATTATTGACAATGAAATCAAAGTAAGTGTTAAACTTGCACTAATACTACTGGTGCTCATAACAGACTAGTAATAATATACAATAATAATAATAATAAAAAAACGACTAAGTAACTGTTTATCAGTTAAATTTATTTTCACATTTAACTACTTGATAACTAATTAACTCACTCAACTCCCGATGCAATGATTCGCGATACTGATTTCACGATACGGTTTTCTCACAATTTTTTTTTACAAAATGACATTTAAGACAAATTATAAATGAAAAGGCATAGGGCTGGACAATAATTCAATATCAATATGTATCGCGATATCATTTTTTTTTTGATTACAGCCATTACTGGGGAAACCGCTAGTTTTATCACTCTAAAAGCGCACTTATAAACACTACTTTTTCTTGCTGAATGAAGAACCATCATCTTCAACTCAACTCAACCTTACCAAAACAGAACTGCTTGTGGTTCCAGCCAACCCAACACTTCATCACAGTTTCACCATCCAGTTAGGCACATCAACCATAACCCCTTCAAAGACAGCCAGGAACCTTGGAGTTGTGATTGATGATAAGCTGAATTTCTCAGACCACATTGCTAAAACTGCCCGGTCCTGCAGATTTGCTTTATACAACATTAGGAAGATCAGGCCCTTTCTTTCAGAACATGCTTCACAACTCTTTGTTCACGCTCTTGTTCTGTCCAGGCTGGACTAATGCAATGCTCTCTTGGCAGAGAGCAGCCACTTCTATCAAACCTTTACAATTAATACAGAATGCAGCTGCAAAATAATAAATAAAAAATTTTTAAAAAAACTTGACCCTCTAACACTTGCACTCTCTATTGGGTCATTCCATGTCAACTCAATCAGAGGTCCCCAGCTCAAATTTTGGATTTGACTAATATTTTTTTCTGAAGAAAGATAAACATGTATAATGTGTTACGTTCTGTGGCTATTTATATAATATTGTTGGATTCTGTGTGCTGTGGTGTGCTTTTTGCTCTCTCTCTCTTTCTGTGTTGTCCAGTGTGTTACCTGCTGCTCAACCAGGTGAGGAGGAGAGGGAGGTGATCGCTTGCACCTGCAGCTTGTTACTGTGCAGAGGCTGCAAACTCAAATGTTGTTCAACATGCCTGCCACATTGAAGCTCGTCTTCCAGAGTGTTGTTCCTCTTGCCTGCTCTGTGTTGCTTTGTTTGTTGTATCAGAGATTGGTCTTGTGTAAACCTATTCAAGTTACGGCTTATTGTAGTAGCCTTCTGAACAGGCCATTAGCGTTGTTGCTGTGCTACGTGACCCTTTGTGTTGGAAGCTGTAGGAAGGTGGGTGCCATTTTATTTCTGTGAATCTTTTTTCTCCTGTTTTTGCTTAGTTAGGGAGTTAGTGTACATTTCTGTTAATTTTCTTTTATTTTGTCAGTGTAGACAGTTGTACTCCCTAACTAGTTAGAGGGTCCTTTTGTTTGTTGTTTTGGCCTTTCCCCCTCCTGAAGTCTATTTTTACTTCCTATTTTCATTTTGTCAATTGTACTTTTGTTAATAAATTACTTGAATTTGGAATTTAACGTGTCTGTCGTGTGGGGCAGGGGACTGACACACACTCACCCAAACCAATTTTATGTTTACTTTTCTCTGTTACTCCCTTACCCTAGACCCTTACATCTGGGACATAACATGATGAAAGCCAAAATATTAAATGTAATGAATTAATTTACTGAATAATCCGCTATTTTATAGAGGGGTTTCGAAATGGAAATTTTCACCGGAGATTCAGAACCAAATTACAGGGGGGTAAAAATTACTTCAGAAAGATGGCAGCATCCTTATGTTAGTTTTACACATTGATTGGTAGGTCTATTAGTAAAATCTGTTGACTTTAGCAATCTTGCATTATGTGCCAATGGTACCATTCAAAAATGGGGAAAGAGCACACTTCAACTTTTTTTTTTCCAAAGTTTGCAGGCCTGCAACTCAAAAATTATTAATATGTAGGGCCTTGAAAATGAAGATTCCAAAAGTAAAGTTTATTAATTAAAAATGAATGAATCTAAAATCATATTGCAATTTCTTTAATACTTAGAGTTATAGGTACGCAAACTTCGGAAAAAGAATACTTATGGCACTCAGGCATGTTCAATGCAGTTGTTTTGACAGAAGGAAACAAGATACATTTCTAGTTTCAACATTATTTGTTCTTTAGACATTCCTCTTTAAAAGAAAAATAGTAGCATATTTTTGAAGTGGCTCATATTTGGTTTTTGACCACTGAAAATATGTGAAATTTAACTATTTGCTCCTGGACACACTGAAATTCCAATATTTCAACCATATAGGGCCTTAAAAATGAAGATGCCAAAAGGGAAGTTTAAGACAGAATATCTAAAAGGACATTAAGATATATTTAATACTTTGAATTACAGGCCTTTGAAGAAAAAACTTGAAAAGTGCTCTTTCCCCATTTTTGAATGGTCACAATAAAATGGATTGTCTCCATCAAATATGAAGTAAATAAGAAAAATAAGGTAAATAAAAAAATTAAGAAAATAAGATGAAACGCCTTTTATTTGTAAAGGATTAAATTCACGGGATTATCCACAAATAGACATTACATATGGCTATGTAATACATAAATCATTTGAATTTCCAGCAAAAATAACTATAATAACAGTAATACCCCTATCCAGGGTATCTGCAGATTTAAAAAAAATCATATTTAAGACTTAAGAAAGAGCTTCACAAATAAAATGATGTATGTCCATACAAAAGAGGGCTTTTAAAATACTTAAAACATGGTTTTATTCAGTATATCCATATGTACTAATAACAATATACTAATTAGTGGCAGATATTGGATTTTCCTGATATGATAAAAATGCATTTAAAGAAGGGCAATAAACAGACTATGCCAATACTAGTGAAATCTATATACTGAAAGCATTAACAGTTGAATTTGCCTGGTTGCTCTTGTATGCTAGAAAGTTTGTGTAACCAACATGCCAACAATACCCAGAAAAGTAGATTTTATTCATAATGCAGGACTTAATTATAAAGCTGAAATACGTGAGAAAGTGCAACAGTACAGTATTTTTACTTTTAAAGTCGGCATGAAACCGAAATTGAAATTGCCGTGATGCACACGGATAGATCATTTATAATAAACACTGCAATATTCCATTAAATAAATGAAGTAAATTAATAAATAAATACTTTTTGAGTTACAGGCCTTTGAAGAAAAAACTTGAAAAGTGCTCTTTCCCCATTTTTGAATGGTCACCATGGGCACATAATGCAACAAAGATAGCTAAAGTCAACAGATTTTACTAATAGACCTACCAATCTGTGTAAAAATAACATAAGGATGCTGCCATCTTTCTGAAGTAATTTTTAACCCCCTGTAATTTGTCTTTGAATCTACGGAGAAAATTGCCATTTCGACCCTCCTCAACGAAATAGTGGATTACTCAGTAAATATTCATCCATGACATTTAATATTTTGTCTTTCATCACCATATGTGTTTATCTCACTTCAGAAAAAATATTAGCAAAATCAAAAATTTGAGCCGGAGACCTCTGGTTGAGTTGACACAGAATGACCCTACTCTACTTCTATTCTAAGTGGAGGGTGAGTAAATGACAGAATTTTCATTTTTTGAGTGAACTATCCCCTTTAAACACCCGAAACGTTGCCGTTTCAATAAATCCAGGATATTTTGGATGCCACAGCAGAGTGCACAAGGTCTTCGATATTTAATCAAGAATATGAGAATTTTTAGCCAGCAGCTAAGATGTCCTCACCTTAGAGCAGATGTCATGGAGGCTAGTGGCGATGTTCTTTGCCGGGGTGTCAGACCGAAATACATGACACTTGAGCATGTGAGTCAACTTGTCTCGTGCCACATATGCAAAGTCCCTGTAATAAGAAATAAACATATGCATGTTGTCATATCACTTCAATTCATCCACACACCCATAAACTTGTGCATGCACAGCAATAAACGTCTTGGATGTGTGTGAAACCTTAGTTCCCTGAGTAGGGAATGAGATGCTACATTATAGCTGACACTATGGGAACACCCTCTGGTGTGACGATCGTCTGAAGCTCATAAGCTCACACCATTTTATTGGCAGATAGTGCTAACTCCGCTCACTGAGGCGTTCTCTGATGCCTCTTAAGGACGTGGACTCTACATCATTGACTGATTTCCTATGAAGGAAACCAAGCAGACATGGAGTATGGCCAGCTACACAGCGTTTTGTTCCAGATTTAGGGAATCAAGGTTACATATGTAACCGAGACTTTCCCTTTCAAAGGTATACTTTGACACTGCATCAGTAGCTGACGCTATGCCATCACACAGATATCTTCCACCGATACTCCTCAGGTCAAAGCTTGTGAAGAAGTAGCACTTTGTAGAGTGTGCACAAAAGCTTAAACCAAGCATCTGAAGTTTGATATAACATTCCTCCACCAAAGCAAAATCCTCTGTTTTGTAGCTACAAAACCTTTGCTACATCCACTGAAGAGGGCAAACAGCTGATCAGATTTCTGCCATTGACTTGATATAAATCCTCAAAGCTCTAACAGGACAAATGGAACCTTTCTTTCTCTTGCAACTCAAAGGGAGAAAGGGAAAGGCTGCAAAACAATAGTCTATGAGTGAAGCAAAGCGCTTTGCGATTAATGAAGCTGCCTCCAAAGGGATGCATTTCCAACAAATGCATCTGGAATGGCCCTTAGCAGGACCTGGTCAAGAAGCCTTATGCTGAGTATAAACTACACCGTTAAGTCAGGAACAGACTTAATTGTGTAGTGTATACTCAGCATATGGCTTCTGATTGCTGTTCCTTTTGCACTACATGACTGTTTTCTGTGGTTGGCACAATACACAAGAGATTGGCAACTGGGTTGGTGGAGGGGATTCACACGTTACACATTTCGCTTTGCCTAGCATCATGCTCTCTCTTTGGCTGTAGGTTGCCACTGATGTCATTAACTGTCAAAAAAAAATTTCACACAGCAAGAGTCACAGACAAGTTCAGATATTTCTCGGGCATTGGCGATGCAACCCTCTACATTGCGAGTAAATCACTCGCATATGCGACAATCTTCACTCTGGCGACTAAATGATGACTAATATTAGCCAATTGCTAATAAATTCTCAGATTTTACTCGCCAGTGTGTGAGTTGGAAGCTAAGTATAAGTTTAGCCTAGATATATTTACACTCGCCGAACACTCTGACTGAGCGTTTCAGAGTTTCGCTCTCCGTCAAGCGATCTGTGCTATTTTTCAATTAATCTCGATGGATGCGCAGTGTACCTGTATTTGACGTACCGTAAACTCTAGTGTGAAGGCGCACGACTTGCTGTTGTGTGCTGGGAGCACTGTTTCTCACACACACGCAAAGAAAGAGAGAGAGAGAGAGAGAGAGCGAGAGAGTCACATTGTATGGAGCTGACGCGCTACATGTAAATGATATTCTTTGTTGTATTTTTCTGTAAAAATAACAGTTCATTTAGAATTATTCAGCTTTTAAGAATAAGCATAAGATATGCCGGTTTCTCCAGTAGTGGGCGGAGCTAATGCGCAAACGACTGGCACTCATTGAGGAAAAAAAATTAACTTAAATGATTTTAGCAAATGGCTGCAATATAACAAAGAGTGAAAAATTTAAGGGGGTCTGAATACTTTCCGTACCCACTGTATGTGTGTGTGTGTGTGTATATGTGTGTGTGTATGTATGTGTGTGTGTATATGTGTGTATATATATATATATGTATATGTGTATGTATATATTTATCAGTCTGGCGAGTAAACAAAAAAATTTACTAGCCAATGGCGATTCAATTGCCAAGGTGTTCGTAGAGGGCTGGCGATGTATCAGCACTTCTCTCAGATCGCGTCTTTGATAATTCACACTATGTGATCGTCACTCATGAGAACAGATCTGCCTCAGATTTTGGGCTTTTGTTGGCTATCTCCAGAAAACTTGTCAGTGAGTGAGATCCGGCCTAAAAGAGTGTAGTGTAGACTCTGCATAAGCTGCCAACCTCAGGTCAATATGTCTGCAAGGATGCCTGCGAGCTGCAGAGAGATTCCTTGGGGCCCAAGTGGGTGCACTGTAGCTACTGCATTACTCTTCTTCTCCCCTAGGGGACAACACAGAGAGAAAGAACGAGAACACAGCTGGCCTCGAGCACAACATAGAACAAGCTGCCAAAGCACTGCTAACTGTTGTGTCACTGTCCTGACTTGTTAACAATACAAGTGAAGTTGTTAAACAGCCCAAACCGTGAAATCAGATCATCTAGCAGGAAGGTTTTACCAGACCCACCCCTCAATGACCAATAGCATGAGCCATGTGCTTAGCAGCTTATTCACTTCTCCTCTCTCAGCTCTTTTACCACCTTAGGGGTCAAACCATCACCCTCGTTCATCTTCTTAAGTCCTTATGGAGTAATGCCGCCTGGTACGCCTGCAGAACCGACGTGGTGTGCAGCACAGCACCTGCTTGACTAGCAGCCATTTAAAACTTGCCAATCAAAGCAGACAGTCTTACAGGACAGTACAGTTGGCTTTGATTTCCATGAGTGGGACGGCTTATCTCTCACTAACTCTGGCATCAAACGGCCATAAAATCAGAGGCCACAGAACGACTGCTTCCAGAACTTTGAGATCTCCTGATGAAGATCCTGGAAGAATGGTAGTGGCCTGCGGAGCACTACGCTCATAAGAACACACTCATTCAACTTGAACTGAGTCTTTAGCTGGATGGACACATCATCACATCCAAAAGAGAATGCTTTGCCAGATTTGGAACTTGGACGCAAATGCTATCATATCCACTCTACTGAACGAAGACCTCTCAGTGCGAACCACTGAATACAAGAAAACTCCCAAAATCCCTATTCAGAAATATAATGCTGCATCCATTGTCAGATGAATTGTCTTCCTGAAGAGAAATCAGTCTAAGATAGCACTGGCTCGTCTTTATGAGGTGTCAGTGAAGCAATGCCTCAGTGGGTGGTGCTAGTACTATCTGCAGGTACTAACAGGCATGATTCTATACAGGCTTCAGACTATCATCACACCAGAGGGTGTTAGCGTCAGCTGCTGATGCAGTGCCGAAGTAAACCTATGAAAGGGAACATCTTGTGTTTGCACTAATTCTTGTTTGTGGAATTATAGGGAATTATTCCAAAAATGACAAGTAACTCTAAGTGAATTTGGCATTAATTATATTTTTTCACTGTAAATATTAATTTTTTAAGTTGATATATTTAAATAATTATGTTTAAGTTTATGTCAACTAGGGTTGGACAATTAATATACATTCAATTGAAATTATAATATGGCTTAGTGTGATTACCAAATGGCAAAAGAAAATAATTTAATTAATTACACAGTCTGATGCGCTCTGCATTGCTGTCAACTTAGAGATAATTTTACATGTAAATCTAGCCATGTAAATATTTCACAGCACCGCCACTATCTTTAACATGTGTATGGTATTTTTTTTTCACACAACACTGGACAAATCAGTATTTTAGCAGTACAGAGCAGCAACTTGTAAATGACCTGGAAGTGACTGCTGGTTAACATGTAGTCTTAATGGGCCATGATTCAGTCACTATTTCATACTAACAGTATGATATGCACAGAGTAGAAAAGAAGCAGACAGATGTAAAGGGCTGACAATACGCAGAATGCAAATACAATGCAATGATCTCATGAATATGCTAATAAATGCACAATGTAACCTAGTGACATTTTGAATCTTTACACAGATCTTTTCCAGACAACAGTAGTTCATAGTCACAACAATTTTCAAGCTCCTAAAAAAAATAAAAAATAAATTTCTAAGTACCAAATTAGTCCAAAAGATTCTTAAGTTTTCTGAAGCTCTCAAATCTCATTCAGTTTAGGCATGCAAAACAGAAAATAATATTGAGTGCTGCACTAGAGGCGAAGATTTTCAATGAATAATTTCTGTTCCTCACATAAAGCCATCACATGCATTCAGAAGAAAGAGAAGAGATACATTTACATTGTTTGTAGAAGCTTAACAGCTGTGGTATCTATGTATGAACAGTCGTTGAATGTAAAAGAGCGACATAAACATTCCTCCAAAATTGTCCTTTTGTGTTAGACAGAAGAAAGTCTAATCAACATGAGGGTGTGAAAATTATGAAATTTCATTTTTGGGTGCATTATGCTTGGTATTGTAATAAGTACACAAATCTAACAAATAAACAAATACACAGCGACACACTACCTCTCCCTGGGGTCCAGGATGCAGCAGGACAGACAGAACAAAAACACAACATAATAATTCAGCATAATCTAAATTATTTAAAAACAAGCAGCTTCAGACAGAGCATCACTGTTGCTACAAAATTGATTAAATTCAACGTAAAAGCCACTTAATTTCCTGTAATATTGTGCATCTGTCAGTCTATGATCATATACATGTTATAAATCTCTCATTCCAAAACAAAAATGAGGCAAAAGAAAGGTTAAAGATCACTTATGCTGGCAACTCACGGATCTGCTCACAGACTTACCTGCCATCGTCACGTCCGACTCCCCACACGCGAATGCTGATGATCGGCTGAGAGTGCAGCAGCGTTCGACCGTGAGGCTCGATCAGGTTCAGAGTCTCATTCTCCAGCACCAGAAGCATTTCCTTCCCCTACACAGCAACACACACAAAGGCATACTAAGTGGTGCGCTTTTCGCCTCTCCTTAAAAGCCTAAACTTAACATCAAAATCAGTCAAATCATGTCACATGACTTCCATAAAATGCGATCTTCTGTGGGACATGCTTTATTTTAAAGTGAGTTATTAAACGCGCATTAAACTGCGAAAGATACTGTTATAGACTTGCTTGTTATAAATAATCTTATCTTTTGGATTGTCTCTATCAAATATGAATAAGAAAAATAAGGTAAATAAAAAAAAGAAAATAAGATGAAACGCCTTTTATTTGTAAAGGATTTGTGGTCAGTCACCTGTGTGCTTACCTTTGCCCCCTCACTGCTGCTGAAATAAGTCTGTTCCTCTTCCTCCTCAGACTGACAAAAACTGCACACAACAGGAAGATGACACAGAGAGAAGGATCAATGCTCCTTTTGCTCAAACAGCAGAGCCTGGCACGAACAAGGCCGAGATCATGGCCTCGATTACTAAGAATTTGTGTTGAACGCAACGTAAGTGGCTTTAGATAAAAAGCATCTGCCCAATTCATAAATGCGATAATATGTAAATGTACATGTGGCATAATACTGTGACACACTCAGCTTCACGAGTCTGTTGTTTAACTGATCTTGTACCTGAGATTGATGGAGGCATAACGTAGAGTCGCTCCCTCAAACTCCTTCAGACTTTCATCAGAAGCCACATCCTCCTTCTAAACAATAAATAAGCATTATATGGACTTACAAAAACAGAATGAGACTGTCTGTGACTCCATTACGAACCTACCTGCCAGTGCTCTTCCTCACTGAATGTGTTTGGATGAGAAACACCGCTCCATGTAATCTAAATACAAATGGGTTCATGTTTAAAGACATCAGCACTCACAAGGTTACAATGACACTAATGTTGGGCAACTTGAGAGCTATAATGTTATATTGATGGAATATTATAAACAGCACACAATTTTCGATAAGTTGAAATGTTTATGATGATGTATAATTGGTGTGTGCACCTGTGGCTCGTCAGCAGGTGTGACCGCAGGCGATGTGCTGGCTGGTCTCTCCTCTAGGGGCCCAGGAGGCTCCCACTGTGTGGTACCTGTGGGAATGTGCCAGTAGTAGGTGCCTGATGTGTCCTGCACTCGCATCCAACCAGCGGGCAGGTCCGTGTCTGTTTCAAATGCACTGCCATCCCAGTAGGACTCTACAACCAACAATGAAAGGTGTTCTATTTAGGCCTGTTTACACCTGGTATTGACATTTCAGTGATCCAATCACAAGTGCTCAGGTCACCTGGCAGTAATATGCCTCGCAAATAGGGATCAGAAGACATTACCTTTTATTTTACAGGAACAACAGCACAAAAGTCAGCAGGTCAAGATCCAGTTACACAACATCTGGTGTGACTTTAAATGCAGACCTTGACACCAAACACCAATGACTTGTACATATGCGTACAATCATTTTAGACACTTCCAAAACTGGAAATACAATTTTTAAATACATGAATTATGTTTCCATCTTTGTTGCCACAGTTTTGGAAGTGCCTTTTTCTGTTCTAAAGAAGGGGGGTGTCCCAATACTTTTGTCCATATGTATGTACAAATCATTGGTGTTTGGTGATGAGTTTTTGGCTCAAGGTCTGCATTTAAAGTCACACCAGAGGTGTTCAGCTGGGATTAGGACTTGGCTTTCTGCAGACCAGTCAAGTTCTTCCACACTGACTGAATAAATCTTTTTTTTTTTAACCTTGCCTTATACACAGAGGCATTGTCGTGTTAGAATAGAAAAGGGTCCTGTCCAAACTATTGGTATAAAAGTAGAAGCACACAATTCCCTAGAATATCATTATATGCTTAAACATTAAGATTTGTACTCGTGGAAATTACTAAAGTAGTCAAACCTGTTCATTAGAAGGGGGGGTTCCAATACTTTGGGCAATATATTGTATGTTTGGTGCAGTAGGGGGCCCAAACTCATATTCTTTCATAGGGCCCAAAATTGCTAGCGGCGCCCCTGCTGGTTGCAACAATTTACAAAACAGCTCGGTCTCCTCATTTAAATAAGCTGCAGAGAAAGACAGTTGAGAGAGAGACGGCAGCTTTTCCGCGAGTGGGCGTGGTTTCAGTGCCGCCAGTGGACACGCCCCCAGCTTCTGAGAGCAGAGAATACTGCTTATTTTTTAAAGATTTTGATAGCTTATTTTATTCACTTGGCGGTTTTTTTTAACATTCAAATTTGGCTGGGTGGTTAATAATAGTGATCGACCGATATTGATTTTTTATAACTGATACCGATACCAATAATTTGCATGTTTATGTGCCCGATAACCAATATGCAGAACCAATATTTATTTACAGTAAATAAATGACTGAGTGAAGTAAGAACATACTTCACTTTGGTTTTTCCTCTTTTCAGTCATTTTTTTTTTTTTAAGTGTTGAAAATTAGCAGTCTTTCATGTTCAATTTAATCTTCATATTACAACAATAAAAAACATTTTATTTATAAAAAGCATCAACAGCAACAACACTAATATTAACAATAAGCAAAATAAATGTAGAATGTCTAATATTTTCAAATGGAGAAAATAAATAAAGGACAGGAGTCATATGAACTTCATTTTAAACTACAGTTTTAGTAGGTTTATAAGATGTTTAATAGCTACAGAGTCAAGAATAATTCACTGGATAATGTTAATTCACTGAATAATATTCTCTGGAATATTGGAATATAACAAACAAAACATCATATTTTATTGCATTTCCCAACTGGAATGTTATATCAGAATTACTAATAATGGTTTTGTCCTTCTAGATTATGAAATGCCTGCTAACAGCGCAGTTTGTCTATGCATTTACACAGAACTATACTCAAACTGCGATCGCTCGTGGAACAGCAACATGAAAGCGGCTTCACGAGACTAATGATGAGCATAGACAACAGAGAGAGAATTAAATTCAGCGCTTTTATTTCCAACATGCGATCATTCATGGCTGTGTTATTTAACTCATGCAAAGTTACGTCTTTATTGGGAGGACTTGACGGATTATCTACGTGACTCCGACTTCACGAGAATAACGATGAGCATATAGACAACAGAGAAAGAATTCAATTCAGCGCTTTTATTTCCAACATGCGCTCATTCATGGCTGCATATTATTTAATTCAGGAAAAGTTACGTCTTTATTGGGACAGGACTTGACGGATTATTTTACATGACTCTGAGTTCATCTCTATTTCTTAGAGCCAAGCTGCATAAACTACATATCAGGCATTTATGTAATGCATCTAATTTGTGCATAAATGGCTGTTATGTTAAATAAAGTTTACTAACTACAGCAAATCAAGTACCTGCACGCTGTTGTTGTCTCGTCTCCCCTCAAACGCACTGCAAAGGCGATCCTGCGCGCAATTTTCAAAACACCCACAAGATGGCGGCGTTTATCGGATATTACAAAACCGATATCCGATTATGGTAAAATGCTTAAATATCGGGGAAAATATCGGTAAATCAATATATCGGTCGATTTCTAGTTAATAACACATTTTTCTGTGGTGTGATAAACTCAGAACACACATTTAATATTGACTTTACACAGACTTTAACAGACCACTCTTGCCATTTTTTTTCTGTGATCATCTGCCACGTTGCATGACTCACCTGGCTCTCCATCTGGGGTGCTGCTTGCAGTGCTTCCCTGTGACAGCGACATGCAGCTGGAGTCCTCATCACTGGGAATGCCTTGCTTACTGAACAGCAAACAAGCATTTCTGCTGCCACCTTCACCTCCTATATTCTGAATCTCAGATGAATTGGTCTTCTCACCTCCAGTGGGATTTAAATTTTCCACTTCCTCTTCTCTTGTCTCCTCTTGGTTTTCTTGATTCTTCTCCATCAGAGTGTAAATCAGAAGAGGTTCATCAGCTGCCCAACTGTGGTCAGAGCAGAGAGCTTTCAGGGTCTTGTTCTTCTCTTCATGGCGCTGCTGTGAGTTCTGATTTGGGTTTCTGTCAGTGGTTTCATTCTTGTTTTCAACCAGGTTGAGATTCTGGTCTTGCTGCTGCTGCTGCTCTGCTAACTTGCATATTTGATTCTGATCTTCCTTCATCAACTTGGCGTTGCTCTCGGAGCCTGGAAGACTGTGTTCATTCTCCTGATTTCTGCTCCATTCATCTTCCTGGTGCCGGAGGGATACATCATCATCATCTAGTCCTCCCATAATGCCTTTGAGGGGCTGAATGGAGGTTGTGCTGCCGTAATTAAGTTGACTCTTTAGAGAGAAAGGATTTGACCCACGAGTATCTGTCAGGCCCAACTTTCTTTCGTGTGATAAGCAGAGGTCAAGGGTCAGTGAAGGTGGGATGTAGGTGTTTTCATTGAGCAGGTCTGATGGGCTCTTCACAGACATAACACAGAGCTGTAACATACATACACCTTTAGAAGTCACACCTTCACTGTAACGGCATTAAAAACATGAACATTTCACACACAAACTCACTGTGATAAACATGATAATCCTGGCCATTAAAATTGGGGTTAATCATTTTACATTTCAATATTACTATTCACATCTTTAAGACCCCGCGGACACCCTGATATATTTAGCAAAATGCCCCTCTCTACAGTTTATTTTTCTGACAAATGAGTTTATGGTCACCGAATATTTGTTTTTTTAACAAAACAACTGACAAAACTTATTGAGGAGGGAAAATAAAGCTCTCCGAGCTAACGGGGCAATGAGTTCACGCAGTATATTTAAAATGATTAAACATTATAGATATGCTCAAGAACAAAACATTTATAGCTGTATTTATAAACTGCTTACTAATGCCTATTAATTTTGGAACAATGCTTTATAAAACAAGAATTAGACCAATAAACAAAACAGCTGACAAAACTTATTGAGGAGGGAAAATAAAGCTCTCCGAGCTAACGGGGCAATGAGTTCACGCAGTATATTTAAAATATGTATTTGTCACATCAACTCTTATAACTGTCTGCAGTTTACCTGTGATTACGGAGTGCTTGATTTGATAAATGTTTCAGTACAAGCATTTCAACCAAATGTAATTTATGCAATATTTCAAACCTTTAACCCACTGGGGAAAATCAACCCATGGCAACAGTTTAAAAGCAGCCCAATTTCGTGGAAAAAAACAACAACAACCCTGCATCCAACACGAGCTGCATAAGTCAGATTTGACTGATCACGGGTCAAAAGTAAGGAGAGATAACTGATAAAGATGTTGGAGGATTTGCTCCTCAACAGATCCCGAGCTCACTGACAAATATCTTTTATCATAGGATGTGCTCCCTTTAAACAGTGCGCGCGCGATCGCAAAATCGAAAGTGAAAGTAAACTGCGAGCGCTCATTCACATATTGATAGCGGCGCCCTGATGTGCAAAAATTATATACAATATTAGAATGTTTGCGGGAGCGGATGGGAGCATGCGGTAATGGTCAGAAGTTCAGCGAGAGCGGGATCAACAAGCCCCGCGCTATCACGCAGCGGCACAGTCCGTCAGTGAGCGCGTAACAGATGACGTCAAATCTTGCGGGATTCCATAAATAAACTACACAAAACCCCACTATTCGGACAAATATACATAACGAAAAGATGATACAAAATTTAATAAAATGGCATTTAACTCTTTTTAATACTTATTAAGGGCCTTAATTTGATCTAAATTGATTTATCAACTTTTAATACTTTTTTAAGACCCCGCGGACACCCTGATTTAGTCGCCCAGTGAAGATTTAGTCACATATGCAAGTGATTTACTCGCAATGTAGAGGGATGCGCATGCTGTCGAGAGAGGGGCTTTCAGCGCACGCGCTTCGGCTGTGTCAGTCAGCGCGAGCATAGCATTGAGTTCTTTTTCATTGCTTATTGCACTTAATAACTTTATTAAACATAATGCACATCCCAAGTTTGCGATTGCGATATACCGTCATACCACCCAGCCCTATGTTCATATATTTGAGCAATTATTGTAATGTATGCAGGATTTTTCTTCTTTCCTCATTTGATTGGGCGTTTCAGCCATCAATCTGAGTGGGCCATTGCCACCCTGGCCCTTATGTGGCCTCGCCACTAATGTAAACAGTGTTAGCTACTTTGAAGAATTGCACAGTAGCCAGTAAAGAGCTGTTCAAAGCAGAAACCTTAATGATTTACAATGCCGTAGTCCTCTTAGAATTTTAGGTTTTATGTTTTCATTCATCAAGGCATATTTTAGGTACATTTTACGTTTATATTTGTGTAACTATAGCATATGTTTAAATTGAAAAAAAAAAAATAAAAAAAATACAATGTAGCCTACTGATAATTTTCTGCCAGGACATTATCCATTAACTTTCCCTTACGAAATACGGAAATTAACCATGGTTTTACTATAGTAAAAGTGTAGTAACCATGGTTTTTGGCAGATTGATTGACATTTGTTTAACCACAGTTTTACTACAAATACCAGGGTTAAATTATGGTTAGTGTATAATATTTAGTGTAGGGTTTCAAAATAAAAGCTCAAACCCTCACTCTTGAGTTTACACGTTTTGATGTCCACATATTCATTAAATTACTGTAGCTATAGCATTTCTGTCCTAAAGAAATGGCCAAATGTACATTATAATACAGTATTTTAACAGTTTTATTCAATAAAACCATATGATTTCTTGCTTTTGATACTTTATTTGAATTCATTCATTGGAGTAAAACTATCCTCATATCAAATACACAGAAATGTAAAGGTATTCACGGCAACCCGTCAAAATAAAAGTTTGGTTTAACTTGAGGGCATTGCAGCAGAAATATTACTATTGTTCCGTAAAATGTATGTAATAGGCTGCTATTACTACTACTAAAATTATTAAAACCTTATTTTTACGGAATAATCGTACAATATTTCTTCAGTGTTTTAATTGTAATATTAAATTACCTTT